AGTGTAAAATACTGTTTATTTTAATGGCAAATATGTAAACTTTGTATGTTTCAGATGAATGGGTGTTTCCTGAAAGTTTCACTGAGACTATTCAGTTGAATAGGAGTGAGCAGTTCATAGCTTCTGAAGATTCAGCCTGCCATAATTTAACCTCACCACAGAATGCCTCTGTTGAACATCACAGCAATGAAACAGGGGATCACCAAGCGAATAATAAAGAGATTTTCACGTTTTCATCAAGACCTCAATCAGCTCCTCATGGAAAGTCTTCAAATATGTCACCAGAATGTTGCATTATCCCTTTGGATTTGAAGCAAGAGGGTAACAGAGTACATGGTAAAACCCAAGTTGAAGATAACTTTCAAGGAACTGACAGCAGTGAAGAGGTAGGCCATTTTGTACATGTAATTCTTGATAAAGTAGTCTTCATCCTAAAAATCCTATTCTGTCTTCAAGCTAGACAGAGAGGATAAATCATCTTTTCCCCATATACCTACAGGTAGATTTGTGTTTGTCAGGTTGCTGTGTCTAACTGGATACAGGTGTGAAAATGCAGGTATAACTGATACATATATACATACCTCTAACAAGTGGCCAAACGAAACCTAACCCTCTGTCAGCCCCTGTGCTAACAGAGACATGAGTATAGTGCATCGCTGCAACAAAAAAGATTTTAGGAAAGCCTGCATCTTAGATTTGAGCGAGATGTAAGTCCGTTATGGTTGAGTAAGAGTGCAGGAAATAAGGCTTCACTGTGCCTTTTAAAACTGTAAGCAGGGACTGTTTTATTCACCAATGTTGTTGAAAGTGAATTAAGAAATGTCAGCTTTTTAATGTCACTTGATGATTGGTATTTCTGCTTTATATCTTGTCTGAACTATGTCAGCGTCATTCTTTTGCAATGTAGGAATCTTTCAGCAATAAACTTAATGAAAGGTTTTTTAACAAATCTATCAGCTGATAGTATATAGAAAATCACCAAATTGTTAATGCACTGAATAGTTGCATTGTGTCATTAGTAACTGCTAAAAGTTTCTACTTTCAGCAACATTCTAGTGTATTTCAATTTTAATTATAAAATCTGTTTCTTAACATTCTAATCTGTTGCTCATGGCTGAGAAATAAAATACAACAGTTACACAGTAGCAAGATGGACTGAACTTAACAGAAATACTGCTCTATATTCTGTATTTCTGAGAAACCAAATTGCTGATGATAATTATAAGAAATAAAAATTTTCTCAGGTTTTTTTCTGTAGTTGTAGGGCTTTTCCCTTTATCTGGGGCAGTGTATCCTTTTTTAACTTCAACCCATAAGACTTCATTATTTTAAACAAAGTTCCAGCATTTCAGGATTAAATCAGTTTTAGTCAAGCTAATAATTCATGAGCAGTGCTATATGGGATAGTCATTCTGAAGATACAGAGCTGGTTGGATTTCAAAGAATTTCTTTGGTTGCACTGCCATTTACTCAGCTTCAGTAGCTTCCAATTTGATTGCCTTTTTTTTTTGGCGGGGGGGTGAGTAAGCATTCAAGTCCTTTGTAAAGCTGTGTCTCCAAAGGAGTGTAAAAATGGCAAACAAAAATTTCTGAAGAAGTACCAAACAGTAAAGGCAATGCTATGAAAAGTGAGTGAAAATGAAATGTCTTTCAAAACACAGTGCATATGGTATACTTAACGGATGTACTATAAAGCAAGACAAATTTATATAAAATAATCAAAAGCTAAATTAATCATTAAACTTTGCTGCTGCTTAAGCCTTTATTGAAGAAGATAACTAACCTTCCATGCCATCATCCTCCCCCGGAGATCCAGTGCCAAGCACACAAACAGAAAGCAGTAGCCAAGCACTCCTGCTTTTACAGCATAACAACAACATTGGGGCTCAACATTAATGGCCATTCTAGAGGCTTAATGCAAGAGAGACTGACAGAAGATCCCTACCTTCTTTAAAAATATTTAAAGTGTTATATAAACTAAGAACTTTGACTATGTGCTGGGGGTGTGCTAGGGAACAGCCTTTGTTTCATTCATTATCTTTGGATGCAAACTGCATTAAATACTATCAGCACTGCAGCTGGAGGTGCATTAGACTTACAAAGGTAGAAGATAATTACATTACACAAGTCTACAGCATGCTAACAAATTATCAAGAGGTTTTTTTCTCAGTCTAACTACTACATTAGTAATTCATAGTTAAGCCTTTCTTTCATGTGAAAGAAGTCACTGAACCAACAAATTACTTAGCAGTCATATTTTGCCCACATTCATCCTCTTCCTTGTACAGATACATTCTGTGTTGCTTCTTGAAGTCAGCTTTATATTGATAGTCTGGATACACATTTAATATTCAGATTGCTCTACTTTGCTTTACTGAAGTAAACTAGAAAACAGGTTTATTTCAAGCACTGAAAAGACAGGAGAGAAGATGCTGGAAAAGCCGTGATAGCTGAACATCAGACTGCTAACTTATTAGTGTCTATTTGAGCACAATTTAAGGTATATTTGCAAAATTATCAAAATTCTTTAGCCCAACCGTAACATGTTTCCCAGTTTACTTCATTTATATGACAAAATATTGGTTCAGTTACACTGAATCTTGCAGTGCTTTTTAAAAATAAATTTTAAACTTACATGCTGAAATAAGCTACATTGTTACAGGTTTTAAAGCTATCGTGTTTCTTACAATCATTATATTACAGCTTTCTTTGAAATTATGTTTGTGTATAACACATGGATATGTACACATTCTTGAATTATATCAAATAAGATAGATGTTTTAACCTATAATTTAAAGAACTGCATGTGAGCATATATTGCCTTTCTCCTGGAAAATATAAGTAAACCTTAGTTTTAATTTAAAAAAAGAACATTTTTGCATATCTTTGTAGTTTAAATATCTCAGACTGGTAAAAAGTCTAAAAGTTCCAAAAGTTTTCCTTGGATTTTTTATGTCACTGTGCCATAGAATTGTTTGGGTTGGATGGGACATGAAAGATCATCTAGTTCCAACCTCCCTGCCATGGACAGGGACACCTTCCACTAGACCAGGTTGTTCAAAGCCCCATCCAGCCTGGCCTTGAACACTTCCATGGATGACTTAAAAAAATTAACAGTTAAAGGGGCTAAATCCCAGTTTCATCCTAGCCTACATTTGAAGTTAGTGGAGCTGCAAACGAGAATTACGTACTGTCTTATTAAATCTGTAGAAAAATCAGTATTACCTACAAAAAATATTTACTTAATTGTAAAATATGAGAGACAGGATAAGTTTCAAATAAGCAAGCATTGACTCTGAATGTACATTGGCATATACTGAGAGCCATAAGATATGCACAGTAACTGTTCTAGAATTACATAGTTTGTGTAACTTTTGGCTTTTGTGGAGGAAATGTTTCAGCCTGCAAACTGAAAACAGAAAGTATTTATAAATTCCCTTGAGTGGTTTCTAATTAGTCACTGAAATATTTCAATGCTGTTATTCAATTATCAGAGTCAAATAATCAGTCAAGGATAAAAATTGCTTCTTCTCTTGAAACCATTCACCATCAAGTGACTTATTTTGTAATTATATGAATGTCCATGCTTTCAGCTCAAATTTCTGTCTGAGGCTTTCTAAAATTAAATTTGTCATGGCAGCATTTATGGATTCTGTCATACCCAGAGCAAAATCAAGAACTCTTGCTGTTCGCAAGAGTTGTGTGACTGGCAGATGTGACCACATGTCACACAATGCTATCAAAAGTGTAACAGGCAAGTTCATCGGTGAAGACTTCCGTGAAGAAATTGAGAATTTTTCTGTCCTTATACAGTTCAGAGAATAAAAGAATAAGATTAAATAATGTACCCTTACAAAGGCTAATTAGACAATTTCACTCTGATACCTCAGTATTAAACTCAGCGTACAAAGGGACTATATCCCATCTGCTCCTAGTAGGTGGCCCTCTAGAGTCATTAGAATGATCTTAAAATTACAGCCCAGCAAGAGCAATCAGATTTATGTATCCAGAACTGCCCATCTGCATGTTCTTTGAAGGAATACGGTACTTCAGTGGAAGTGCTCATCCCTCAGCAAAATCGTTCTCAGCTGCAGTTTACATATGCTGCATTATAATTAATCAAACAAACTTTATTGATGTTTCTGGCACCATTTCATGATTTATTATTTAACAAATTATTCTAGAACCTAAATACATGTGGCTGAAGAGAAAGATGGGAGGGATTTAAGCTTCAGATAAGGCAAAGTGATCCATTTATCTCTAATGTGTGGGGAAAAAATAGAGGATTTCTTTAGTAATCTTCCATCTTAAGTTCACCTAACTTAATATGGGTTTCCAGCACAGATTTTAAGATAACTTATGGCAAATAAAAATCCATGAAAAATAGGGAAGTACGGATTTGTGTTTCACAGAAGTTACTAATTGAGGGAATAACACTATAAACTTCCAAACCATGTATCATTAACAAAATTGAGGGATTGTTTTCATGAATGTTCATTTCATTCTGTGTAATCCAGTCCTGGACTTGCTGAAGTCAGTAACAAAGTTGGATCTGTTTTCATTTGCAGTAGGACTGCACCTTGGCTATGAGAGGCATACTGAAGAGGCTATTTCAGTGTTCATTGAATCTTGCAATATATACTGCCTTACAGTATATATGCTATATATATACAGCATATATATATATGCGCTACCCAGTGTGGTAGCATATGGCAGAGGACCAACATGATGAGATGATGAGGCCTCTCTCATCCTTTCTTCCTTAAGAACACTGAGGCGAACACTAGATGTGCTTCCCCGTTATTTTTCTTTGCATGTGTTCAGACTTGCTGTTTGTTGTTAAGAGGGGGTATGAGTGAGTGATTCATGGGATATTCTGCAGAGACGTTGTTAGAAGCATTAGATTAACAAGCTAACCTCCAAAATTTGTGAATGATATTCAAATGGTACTGAATATGATATTCAATGCTATTGCCAGAGGTGAGCGAAGTGATCAGCAGGAGTTACTCCTTCTACATTTAAGTTGAAGATGCGATGTGAAAACGTGGAATATTAATAATTCAATGGGAAGACATAATTGTTGTAGAATTTTTGCTTACTTTTTGTTTACAGTTGTAATAAATTTTATTGAAATTATTATTATGTAACACAGGTTTGGGAGGTATTCTAAATTTGGGCCGACATTTTGAAAAGTGTAATCTTGCCTCTCTCTCCTTCTCTTTCTGCTTTCTACTTTTTGCTACTTGAGATGTAAGAACATGTTTATGGTATCCTCAATGTAGTTGCCAGGAAGAGCAGCTGGTTATCAGAATCCATGCAAATTTAGAATTAGGCAGCAGAGATTAAAGAGCGATTTTGAAATTTTAAGGTTACGTAAAACTTTATTGTGTGATGAGAGGGAATCACTCTTGCTTTGTTTCCTAAATTTAGGATGACAACAATGAATTGATCCAGGGTACTGAGAACCTTGGGATCAGCCACAGCAGGCAAGGAACACCTGATTCAGCAGTTTTTAAAGAGATCCCATTAAAGAGGATGTCATGGAGAAATGAATACTGGAAGAATAAGGGACACAGCAAACATAACCTCGAAGAGACCGTATTACCAAAACCACAGAGTTCCACTGTGAGAAAAAGAGATTCTGTTAGTTCTCAGAGAAGCTTAAAGCCTACCCTTTCTCTTTCTCCAACTGGAAGTAAATCTGAAAAAAATGAAAAATATGAAGGAGTTTCTGGTCAATTAAAAAGATCTGTCAGTAAAAAGTGTCTCAAGAAGATCTCAAGAGAAAATTCATGTCTGACAACACAGACTTGTGTAAGTGATTTTTACTTTGAAATTAAGTTGTTAGATTGTATAGAGAAGCTGTATTAGATATACCCATTTGCATGAAGTGAGAAATAATTTCTTTCATCCAGATATATTCTGGTTTCATTATAACAGTATTTACTGAGCTCAGTCTGTTGAAAGCTGATTTTATAGCTTTTTGTGGCACACAAAATAGTACTCCAAATAAAACAGAAATCACAGAGGTTTATAGATAAAAAGAGGGTCATTGAGCAACTCACATTTTGGAAACATGTGAATTAGAAAGTAGTTTTGGGCTGAAAGATTACAAAGACAACTGACAGACTTTGAATTGATATATTAACGAGTGGCCACAGAAAGAGCGTTAATCTAGGTAGTTCATAGTCTCTCTGCGACAGCCCTGAAAAATAATAAATTACGTGATTGAGGGCCAGCAGTAAGGCTGTGTCATAAGCTAAATTGCCAGGTTGCTAGAGGAATTTTTTACCTTCGCCAAAGTGTTGTTTTATTCCTATTTTTTTTTCCTGGATTCTCCTTAAGAAAACATGCAGTAATTCGCAAACCAAGTTTGTCTGAAGCTAATTATGTTATTAAATATTTCATAATAGCTAATTCTTGTCTTTTCAGTTTATAATAATGTGCTTTGAATTGTGCATTGAATCAGGAACTGGAGCTTAAGAATCAAGTGTATTCTGTAAATGTGAAAAAAATAAAAAATAAAAAAGTATGTTACTGTTTCATATTTTTGGATAGAATTTTTTTTAGGGTTTAGAATTACTGCAGATCCATATCTGGACGGATGTAACTAACATGTGACTTTGCTAAATGTGTTACAAATAGATTAGATGTATTTCTGAGCATCATAGAGTAGAACAGGCCAAATTTCGTCCTCAGGCTTCAGAAATCTTTTTTTCAGATGTCAGCTAATAGCCGATGGGACCAAAGACTTACATAGCCAGCATCTTCTGTCCAGCAGTGGTCAGTCGTAGATGGCTAGGGAAAAAAAACAGTGCAAGGACAGAGCAAGCACCTAGCAGTACCTCGCCAGCATGCCCTGCAGGCTTCCTTACAGCAGTCCACAGCTTACCAATTCATTCAGTGAGAGATGCTGCCTTTGTGGTAAATAACTGGTGGTGGAATTTTTTTCCACAGATTTGTGTAGTTGCTTTTTGTATCTATATAGCCATTGCCTTGTGACAGTGAATTTCAGAGTTTTGAATGCACAGCCTCATTCTTGGTGCTTTCTCATTGTTGTGTTTGTTATACTATGAATAATCTATTTTTTTAATTATTCTTACCTGTGCCACTTACTATTTGATGTCTGTATATCATATTCCCCCGCAATTGTCTTCTCTACAGATCAAGTATTTAGTTCCAGGATTGCTGTTTTGTGAATTTTTTTTGTCATTTTTACCCAAGGATGTTGAATCTAGCTACTGCACGGTCATTAATGTAAGAGTGTTTTTTGGGTACTACTATCTTGAACCAGGTGTTGCACACTACTAAGGACCAAAAGAATGGATACTTCTCTTTTTTGTGGTTCTATGAAGCAGTTACGTATTAGGAAAAATTTAGCTACAGTATTGTCTTGCAACATGATATATACTGCATTTGTATGAAGGAAATGAGCATCTTCCATGATTATTGTGTTTTCTGTCCCACCTGCTGTAGGATACCACAGTCACCGTTCCGGTCAGGGGGATACGCTGTCATTCTGCTGTGGGAATTTTAGTCTGTAGCAATTAGCAGTTCTGTTACTGGTTGATACAATTAATTTTAGTCCTCTGATTTGACAGCATCTGTGAAAGGGGAAGCAGGAGTGACTACTGCCATGGGAAGAGGCTGCTACTGCTGCGGCAGGGTCACCATGTAGAACGGTTCTACCTACGTACCTAACGGCTGCTATGGCTGCTGAGGAGGGACCACGCTGCAGCTAATCGTGGATATGGAAATCTGGGCACTGGGCTAGGAAGAACAATCTAAACTGGGCATCAGATTAAAGAATTCTGTCCAGGAAAGCGTATGTTCAGCTTTTCTGTGTATCTTTAGTAGGGAAATGCACATACTGTCATGCCACTTACACTTCAGTGCTTTTTTGTGAAATGAGGTGCTTTTAGTGCTGGTATAGGGGTTGGGTTTTATGTATCTTACAGTCCTATGAGATAGTCTCTCCAATGGAGGGTTCTAGAAATTTCTTCCTGTATTCTGCAGGTAGTTTATTGGATTGTGTAAAGGCCTTGCACTTTTCCTGATAAAAACAAAACATCCTTTTCCATGAAAGGTGTGGAGACTGGTTTCCTTTAGGAAGGAAGCAGATTAGGGGGACGCAAGGGGAATAGAATACAATAATGCAGGTGAAAATCAGAAGCAGTGCTGAGACCTTAGGTTGATGAAAAATATCAGTGGCTGGTGATCTTGAAGACAGTAAAAAGAAAAAAGTTTTAAAAAAGCAGAGAAAATCCTACCAATAACAGCATATGTTCTATGTATTTATTATCTGGAAAAGACATTAGAATTGCCACTAGTGATGTAGAAAACGTGGGAGGATGCAATGCATGTGTTCTCTTGTATTTGGGAAGAAGTAAGGTAATGTTTCTGTAATTTTTAGTGATAGGAAAACCCCAATTGATAATCTAATTCTGTTTCTTAGATGTGTTAATATCCATGTATTTGTTTGTAAGAGTATAAAAAAATTTGTTTACATTTTTTACCTTCCCTTTCCCTCCTAATTTTATCTATAGGATTTTATTTTTTCTACTTTCTAGTAAGTATTCACATTTTTGCGATTAAATGTATTCTTCCCTTGTTTCCTGATTCTTTTCAGGTTTGGAAAATTGTTCCACTTAAAATTCAACTATATTTACTACTATCATAACTGTAATCTATTTGTCCATAACAAATGAAATATGTTGATTACTTTCCTAAATGATGTTATTGGTGTTTAATGCAGTGATCAACTTTTGTGCTGTAGAACATAACAAAGTATAGACTACCTAGGTGGATTGCAATTAAGTTTTTAAAGTTAGATATACTTTACAACTTTTTTGTGATTTTTTTTTTTAAAGATGAGGGAAAAGAGCTGTCATTTTTCCTCTGCTTGAGAAATAGAGAAATAGTTGATTACTAAATTAGACAGTAGGGTTATTGCCCAATATGAAAGTATCTGGCAGATTTAGCTCTCATACTTGATTTGATCAAGTAATAGAATTTTCCCATCCAGAAGCCTTTCCTTGGAGTTGATACTTCCTTTTGTACTAGGACACAGTCAAAATTTGAAGCCAAATTTGAGTGCCACTGCCTGCCTTTTAAACAGTAGTTGTTTAAATTAGAAAGTATGCTCATCTAGCACTTACAAAATAAAGTCAAATATATATTTCTATTTTTTTATTAAGAATATTTCCAATAATTTTTAAATTAAAATAATTTATTTGAATGTGGCCTTTTTCTGTCCATATACATGTGTAAAGCACTTTTTTCATCTGCTGAAGCAGTTTTGCAGGAAGAAACTAGTATTTTAGGTCCCCATAAGTTTCAAGAAAAGAAGTGCTGACATGTAACATTGTTAACTACAGTGAGACAACACTGGAGCTTTTTGGTTCGCTGTGGGCATGTAAATATTTGATTTCCATGTTGAAACATTCTTCATTGTTCTAAGAATTATGTATGAAGGGATAGTTTCGTATGGAAAGGTATTAGAGTGAAATTTTAGAGAGAAGTAGTCTCTTCTAATCTGCTCACACGGAGAACTGGTGAAGAAAAAAATGTTTAACCAACTCTTCCTACAATCGATTTGCTAACTACTTGATACACTTTAAGGACCTGGTTGCTTGCAATGTTTTATTCATGTTTTAATAGAGTTCTCTATTAAGTTAAAATATCTTTAATTAAGAAAGACGTACAGCCCTCTGGGTAATATTGCAAGCATGTAGATAGCTGGTAATTAAAGTTTTCCGCATGTATAACTACATTCAAACAATTCTGAATAAATCATTTGAACCTAGAAGAATGCAAATGTCATTATATATGAAAAAAAGTCCTTTAAACAACAGGTTTTGTCAATCTAGCAAAAGTTTGAAGCACTTAATAAAAATACTTTATCATGAGGGGAGGATATGCAGAAAGACAAGATAAGCTTTAAATTACTAAATGAAATATTAATTTTAGACAAATTTACAAGTATTGCAAAATTGCTTCTTACATCAAAAGTTTGTCCTAAATTACATTAACTTAATATCACATTCAGTTTTCAGATTCTGTCTTTGAAAATTGGCTAAGACAATATCAAATTTGTGAAGAGGCTTTTTTGTAGTAATCATCTGACGCTACAGAATAAATAGTCCAAACTATTTCTCCTTTATTACAAGGAGTTTATTGTGCAGGATGTTTAACACAGAAAATTGTCATGACATCAATTCTCCTTTCCGAGTATGGTATTTCTGGAGTGAGACCATTACAAGAAAAGAAAACAGAATGACAATTTGAAATAAGCTGGGGGGGAAAAAAACAACAAACGTTTAGAATTGTTTTTTAAATTTTTGAAGATTTATTAAAAAGAGAGTGAGAAAAATGTTCTTTCAATGCTTAGTGCTTTTATTCTGTGTAGCGCTAGTTCATGCTGTCATTTGAATGACTGCATGCCAGTGGCTTCTTATATGAGGTAAGAAGGATAAGCCAAAACTTCTCTTATAATAGTCAAATGCAGAAGGCTTCTATATAGGAAAATTAACTGGAAATCGGCATCTTCAGTAAGATCAATAAAAGTTATAGCAGCTGTAGATCTGGTAGAACACTAATACATCAGAGCAAAGCAGGCTTTCCAGGTGTGGCATAGCAAGCTTCGTATGAAGTGAACAATAGTAACTGAGCTAATAACGTACTGTGAGGGTCTAGGAAAACATCATGTATTATTTTAGGATTAAAAATGGTGGTAATAACCACAGTATTCAGGAATGAAGCTTGGGCTTCAAAAGCCAGAGGTAAAAACGAGATGGCAGCTGTGCTAATAGCTTCTGTCATCATCTTATACCTCTCACAAAATGGCAGACTACATTTATCTGTGCCAAAAAGGAGCCTCTGAGTGCTTGAGGTGATTCGGTAGGAAAAAAAATCTTTGCCAAGACATGTGACTTAAGAATTTGAGATACATAGTAAAAAATCAAAAATGGTTGCAATAGGCTTTAGAATTGTCTTTTCTACAAAGTTTTGCATACTTGCGCATGCAGCTGTTTCCATGTGAGCACCCTTCAGTCATGAATCCTGTTTTATGTGATATATTTACCTGCTGATTGTCAGCTTGCAGGCACACTTTCCATCAAAGGTGGTTTACTTTGTTATTTCAGTGCTAATTTTCTTTTTGAATGGTTATTTGCAATAGCTGGCTTTCAGGGAAATCTACTACCATTGTAGTCAGAATGAAACATCAAAATATATTATAGAGTTGCTACTCACAAAAACTTAATGTTGGGCAGCAATCTTTACTGAATGGTACTTAATTTCTTAACTAGAATTAAAATAGGAAGTATTATTTTACATACTATTGTGATAACTTGATTTCTTTTATGGCATCCATGAGGAAATAAAAATATGCTACATGCTTTTATTCTAAAACTATTTTTGCAAATACATAGTAAAATATTCTAGAGCTTGAGCTGAAATCAAGGTTCAATTCTGTGTATGATGCCATTACATTTATTATTAAAAAGGAAGGGTTTCTCCATCTGTTCTTGATCCAAAATTCCCTTCCAGTGTGCATTGTGTTGCACATCCTATGCTTGGAGTTCAGCACTGTGAATGAACCTATGAGCATATTCCCGGTTAAACTTCTAGAGAGGAAGTAATGGAGTGTCCTTCATTATCTAGCTTTGCTTTGATCCCAAGGACAAAAAAAGCCAGCAGAAGGGGATCAGATGGACAATAATGCTTTCCTCATTCCCAGAAAATACAGATTTATATGGAATATGGATTCTTTATATGGAATATTACAGACTTATATGGAACTCCCTAAAAAATGAAAAAAGTACTGTGTGTCACTGGGAATAACCTCCGTTTTCAGCAGTGTTGTCATATATTCTTTCTAGTGAAAGTGAGCACTTTGCATGTGAAATAATAAGCAATAGACATGAAAATCTAGGATAGACACATATCTTTTTGCATGAGTTCCTTAAAATAAGGACGTCAATGTCCAATGTATAACATCTTTTGTGGGCTGTATATGTCATACCTCTGTGGAGCTGAAAAATTGAACCTATATAATATTTTATTAATCACTTGCATATATTCCTGAGTCTTTTTAAAAGCAAATGTCATGTTTGTGTGATGTCATAGCTTGAAGGTATTGTACTATTTCTCTTACTAAGATAAAGCTGCAGTTCAAGTTTTCCTGTCTCGGGTGTGACCAATTCATGATTATAATCCACATAGAAGACTTAGATATGTGTCCTGCATACGTAAGAAGAAAGCAGAGGATGCTGTAGTAATAATTCCGGTGTGTAATATTTCTGTGTGTCTTCTGGCGGTAAGGTGACTTTTGTACCCCCGCAAGACACACTGGAGCATTACACACTGGATTTCTAGCGGGAAGAGCTAGCAACGTTCGTATCACTAGTACTGCTGACTCGCTCGTGTTCTTGAGGTCTTCAGTTGTCCTGTACCTCCGCACAGCAAAGCAGCCCGTGAGATTGCCCCTTCTGCCAGGAACATGATAAATTCCTGGTTCTCTTCACTAGGATTAGAGCACTGTCCCTCTCTGGGATACTGTTACATACTGCCTTGCAGCCCACTGGCAATATTCCAGTGATCTAAATCCTCTGAAGTCCTGGTCACTACCTGGATTCACTTGTCAAGCAGAAATGCTTTGTAATTCGATTCAGAACCAAAACTGGAGGCCTCAAGCACTAGACCTGTTCCTTTGTGAAATGTCAATGTATGTGGACCCTTTAAAAAAAGGGAATTTTTTTCTTAAAGGAGTTCTATAAACAAAGATGGTGCCACAGCAGGTTGAGTGAACTTAAACGATCTTATCATGAGATTTTGTGTGAGGCATAAGTACAAACTGCAAAACAGTTAATACCTGTTTTTAGCTTTTGGCCTGTGGATCAAGTTTGATATAACAATTAGAGTTACAGTAACAATTCAAGCAATGAGTATAAACAAAAATGAAAATACAGTGATGTTAATTTTAAAATGTATATGCTAGCAAGTAACCAAAACAACTTTTAAAATTTAGTGCTGATATGAGTAGCTTTCCGGAGAAATTTTATACTGTGCTTGACAACTAAATGTTATGTTGATGGTGTTTATGATACTATAACTGTGTGATTGGGTTTATTTCAAGATTTGCATTTAATGCCTAAGCAATTTTAGCTGCTGGATTTTTGAACTCTCTTCTTCTGAAAGCCTGCTTTTATCTTCTGTTTTTAATTGCAGTAGAACAGCAGCTTCACCAAACACCCTGGATCCAAACTGCAGTTCATAAGTGTTTGTGTTCTTCTTCCTTCCTGTAATTATGTGTAAATATGCTTGATTTTCATAGTCGAACAGAAATCTGTTAACTAATCTTTTCTAGTAAACATTTTGTTTCTCTTTTACTACTGTAGTTTCTTGAAGATTCCCCAAGAGATTCTCCAAGGTATCTGTTTCATTCATATATTCTGTTCTGTGATCCTCTCTATATTGTTGACTTTTCCATTTTCTTTCACAGGAATATGACTGGAAAAATTACCAGTCCAATAGACTGAGTTCATCTGAACTACACATGCTGGCTAGTATGAAGAGACAACAAAATGAAGAATTCAGGGATATTGGGATCTCACATGGGCTGAGTGCATCACAGATAGACAACTGCAATGTTAGCATAAGTACAAGCAGTGATGATACAGCAACCTGGAACTCTTGTTTCCCACCAGTAAGTCTAAACCCACAGTATTTTCTCTATATAGTTTCTATCAATACTGAGACTCTTGAATATTAAAATTTCTTCGAGTAGCTTTGAAATTTAAAGGTATCATTACCAAACATTTTATAGAACTTACAGAGTAAAACATGCAACCAAAACACATGCACTTCCAGCAGGTTCTGTAGTACCACCATGGACAAAGAGCAAACGTATTCTATATATTCCTTCCAAGAATCCTGAATAATCATGTAGGCTGTACAGCTTGTCACAATAGCGGCTGACAACCTGCAAGTGTGTGATATAGTACTTAAAAATAGTTCCAAAATGAATGAAACCAGATATACCAGTCGGCAACTGCATTCAAGTGTGAGTAATGGAAAATAATTGCTTCTTACAATGATAAAGTCTCATTACTGAAAAGCTAACTGTTTAAGAGGACTGAAGGAGGACCACAGCAGCAAAAAGCTGCAGTAGTTCTGAGCACTTAGTATGTCATTGTTCCGTATTTTACACCTTGTATCCTTATTTGTCCTGGTACAAAGTGGTACAAAATGACACACGGCTGCACTATGTGACAGGGTACTATTATAAGCAGCAGAGGAGTATTTGTTACACTCCACCGCAGAGTATTGAATGTATGAAATCACAGAATGACATTTCAGCAACTATATAAAGGTACTTGCAGGAGGTACTGTAAAACCAGATAACCTCATACTCCATTTATATCTCAGCAAGATAGTTCTTATTTTATTATATGTGAAACAGTAATAAAAATTATAAGGAAAGTACACAACACAACTCTGAGGCAGATCCAAGGTTAGAAGAATAAACACTGCTGTGTTGCCCCAATATAAACTTTTGTAGAGCAAATACTCTGTTAGGTGCAAATTACCTCCAGGGATCTATAGGCCCAAAGAGAGGCCTGGAGTAGCAATCTTCCATAGCAATGGAAGATTCAACACAGCATTGGAACTTTGTGGTACACTGGTAAATGAAGGTTTCAAATGAGAGGTATCGGGAAGTGGATAATTGTACAAATAAGAACTTGGTTTACAGAGTGATTATTTTTTTACAGAGTAAGTATTTTGCAGGCTATCCAAGCAACATTAGTTGGTTTTAACTATTTGAGATATGTCACTATTACACGTTTAGTTGACTTCATCATATTTCCAATGTGTTTTCTCAATACTTGCTAAATAGACTCAAACGTGGTGTAAATCTGCAAGACTGGACAAATGGAACTCTAAGTAAATTAAGAGAATAGCAGTCTCATTAATTTTTTAGTAGTTTAATTATAAGGAATTGATAGTCATATTTATGGCTAATACAAATTACATTACTAAAACAAAATGGACTTTTAAAGAAACATATAATGCACTACTTCTAGTGCGTTATATATAACAGGGAAACACAATGTGGTTGCAAAGGCAGTTCTTTGATCTTGCTGCCTTGATCAGCTTCTGTAGCTTCAGACTAATAGTATCAGTCTTAAAAAGTGTTTAGATATAATAGGTTAGTCATTTAAATTCTAATTTAATATAGCAGTAGTTTTTAATAGTACTCCTTTGTGGCCATCTTTCTCTACATAAATCAAGTGTACAACAACATACTTGTCTTTGAGAGAGAAGTTTTTCTAATATCATTCGGTTGGCTGAAGTGTTGGTGTGTCTTACGCATACAGCCCTGTTCAGTTTTTTCTCTACATTTTGGAAGGTGGACATTGAGGTTTTAAGATTTAATGGCAAGAACCTCGGGAAGAGGTAGTTTAGAAAGCAAACCTAATCTTTTGCAGATAGGGACTAACCACTTAGCCCCTCACTACAACAAAGACTGCTGAAATTCAGCTTCTGCAGTCTTCCCTACCCATATGCCTCTGCCTTTATGCAGAGAGACTCTGTACCAGTACAGTGTTGGTTAGTCCACAGTATCTATTGATTCACTTCTTATTTTTCTTTCTGAGATAGCTGCTATGGCACCACCTGTTCATAGATGTGGTAAAAGACTTTGGAGTACGGGTTTGTATGTTTTATTACTGCTTGATGTAATTCTGTTCCAATATTTGTAAGAATGCAGAGTAGTCACATGGCGGGTGATAGTTCATTCTCTAGACCTTTAGTATTTAAGAAGGTTATAAACAGCATTTATTAGGGAAGGTGATTATTTAATCATACCAAGTTGTTTAACACAGTTTAAGTTTTTAAAGAAATGATTGGGGGCATTTTTGGTGTGCTGGTGTTCAATTTTATTATATTTTGGTATGCTTACAATATTTCAAAAGACTTTAGAGTAGTGAGGCTGTGTTCAATATTCAAATGGGTGGCTGAAATGAAAAAGTTAATGTAGGCCAGTTAGTCTGATAACATTGTCAAAACAGGGAAAAATCTGGTGTGGGATTCAGTTAAGAGAGATTTAAAGGGTGGTAATATGGTTAACGATAGTCAAGATCGTTTTATAGAAAATATGTCCTGTTCAAAAAAATCTAATTTTATTGATAAAGTTACAATTGATAAGGGAACTGCTTAGATGTAACGTGCTAAGACAATATTCTTTTAAAGATCACTTTAAAAATGACCAGCATACAATATTGATAAAGCACACCTTGAATGAATTTAGGACTGGTCAACTGACAAAT